CGAACAATGGATGAGTACGTGATGAAGTGGTGATGACGAGCCCAGTATTATATAGCACGGCAATAAGAGCCACATCTCACGCTGTCACACGGGCCGCGTAATGCCGGCCGTACACTGTGTGATATTTTTGGTCGGGCCCCAGCTTAAACTGTACGACCAAATCGCAGGGTTTAAAAGTTCACATCTCATGAAACATGTTCTCACACTATACGAACCGATGCTCTGATGCGACCTGCCTGCGCACACTGTACGTTCACATAACGGCTGGAGTTGTTGTTCCAGAAGTAGAAAACCACGAAGAAGAAAACCACAGAATTAGAAAACCGCAAACGTGTGGAGACATAATGCTGAGGCAGGCAAAAAACAGATGCGCTGCCTTGGCAATTTGTGCCATTCTCTGCGCAGACAAGCCCAAAAAGAAGACGACGAATATGTTCAAAGAAATGGCTGCATAGACGTGAGCAGTACAGGTTGTCTGTTCTTCAGAAGGAACTGGTGGTAAGTAGCATCAAGTTTTTCACCAAACTTCTGTTCTTTGTTGCTCAATTAGCTGCGCCTCCAAATGCGCAGTCTGGCAGATTCTGGCAAATCAGCTTGTGGAACTACTTCAACAGAGTGAAACCCTCACGAGAGGCGACTGGATTTCAAACAAGTTTGATATTCTTGCGACCTACGAATGCCGATTGAGAGCTGGTCGGGAGGTGTTGATCTGTTCTATTTACCCCATGTATACAACACGAAGCATGACACACGATGAAGTCAAAACTCGGCCCGATCCCCAAAACAGTCGCATGAGTGAAAAATCAGCTCAAAAAGGGTCAAAAATCACACCACGTACACCCGGGTTAAGAAACTTGTACTTGCCTCGTACAAACGACTAGAGGGGTTTTGTGCAGATACTAATCTATGGGATTTTGACTCGTACGTGACCCTTGTGTGGCACTTAAGTATGGCATACTACTGCCTCAGTCTTAAGACCTGCACGACACTTGCGTGCCCCACTTTGCCGAAGTTTCTCCCAGGGTCCCAGACAAGTCTCATGGGACCTGCAAGCTACACTTGCATATATATATTTTAAAAAATGTGTTTCTCACCTTCCACGGTGGTAGGTCTCTCTCACCCTCATTCAGCTCAGGTCGTCTACCACAGGCCTGGGAGCTTGAGAGTTCTGCGCAGTATCTTTGCTGTTCCCAGTACTGCACTTTTCAGGACTGAAATGTCCGTTGTTTTTCCTGGTATCTGTTATTGCCACTCTTCCTGTTTGGGGGTTATAGCCCCGAGTGCTCCGATCACCGCAGGCACCACTGATGCCTTTACTTTCCAGGCTCTCTCCAGCTCCTCCTTGAGCCCCTGGTATTTCTCTAGTTTCTCGTGTTCCTTTTTCCTGATATTACCATCGCTTGGTATTGCGATGTCCACCACCTCGGCTCTGCAGTGTTTCTTATCCACCCACTATGTCTGGTTGGTTCGCCATCACCATCCTGTCAGTCTGTATCTGGAAGTCCCACAGGATCTTGGCTTGATCGTTCTCCACAACCTTTAGAGGTGTTTCCCACCTTGACCCTGCACAGATGTTTCTGTACACTATGCCCACCACTTGGTTATGTCGGCCCATGTTTGCTTTCCCTGCCAGCATCTTACACCCTGCAGTTATGTGCTGGACTGTCTCAGGAGTCTCTTTGCACAGTCTACACCATGGGTCTTGTCTGGTGTGGTAGATCTGGACCTTTATTGCTCGAGTGTCCAGGGTCTGCTCCTGAGCAGCCAGGATCACTGCCTCTGTCCTTCAGACCAGCCCTTTCAAGCCATTGGTAGGATTTCTTAATATCAGCCACTTCAGTTATATTTTGGTGGTATGCCCCATGTAGGGGCTTGTCTTGCCATGATGGTCCCTCCAGCACCTCTTCCTCTTCACCCCACTGTCTGAGACATTCTCTGAGTATGTCATGTGTCGGGGCATTATCCTTAATGTACTCAGCTTGTAGAGCCTGTAGAGCTTGGATGTTTCATCCTGGACAGTGGTTCCCACACTCACTAGTCCTCTGCCTCCTTCCTTTCGGCTTGCGTACAATCTCAGGGTGCTGGATTTGGGATGGAATCTTCCATGCATAAACAGAAGCTTTTGTGTCTTAACATCTGTGGTCAGTATTTCCTCCTTTGACCAGCTTATGATTCCTGCAGGGTATCTCATCACTGGCAGGGCATAGCTGTTTATTGCCTGTGCCTTGTTCTTGCCATTGAGCTAGCTTCTTAGGACTTGCCTCATTTGTTGCAGGTATTTGGCCATAGCCTCTTTCCTTGTTGCCTCTTCAAGGTTAGTATTTGCTTGTGGGATACCAAGGTACTTGTAACCATCTTCCACGTCTGCTATTGTTCCCTCTGGGAGTGAGACCCCCTCTATGTGGACTACCTTCTCTCTCTTTGTCACCATCCTGCTACATTTGTCAAGCCCAAATGACATTCCAGTGTCTGTGCTGTAGATCCTGGCGGTGTGGAATGTGTCAGTGTCTCACTCGCTCTTAGTGTACAGGTTGATGTCATCCATGTAGAGGAGGTGACTGATGGTGGCCCCGTTTCTGAGTCAGTATCCATAGCCAGTGCGGTCAATGATTTGGCTGAGGGGGTTCCTTTGCAGAACAGCAGTAGGGACAGTGAGGCTCCTTGGTATATGCCACCTTTGATGGACACTTGTGCAAGTGGCTTACCATTGGCTTCAAGGGTGGTTTTCCACAACTGCATCGAGTTTGTAATGAAGACCCTTAGAGTCCTGTTGATATTGTACAGCTCCAAGCACTCGGTGATCCATGTGTGTGACATTGAGTCGTAGGCTCTCTTGTAATCAATCCAGGCAGTGCACAGGTTGGTCTTACAGATTCTGCAGTCGCGGGCGACTGTTTGGTCAACCAGGATTTGGTGCTTGGTTCCTCTGGTGTTTTTGCCAATGCCCTTCTGTGCTGCGCTCATGTATTGATCCATGTGCTCGCTTGTCTTAGCCGCAATGATGCCTTACATGAGCTTCCATGTTGTGGAGAAACAGGTTATTGGCCAATAGCTGGATGGGACTGCACCCTTTGAGGGATCCTTCAGGATCAGGATCGTACGCCCTTGGGTTAGCCATTCAGGGTAAGTCCCATCCTTTAGCAGCTGGTTCATTTGTGCTGCCAGGTGCTCGTGGAGAGCAGTGAGCTTCTTTAGCCAGTATGCGTGGATCATGTCAGGGCCCAGTGTAGTCCAGTTTTTCATACCTGAGACTCTTTCCTGGATGTCTGCCACTGTGATGATGACTGGATTCTGTTCAGGGAGGTTGCTGTGGTCTTCTCTCAGATCCACCAGCCACTGTGCATCGGTGTTATGTGATGCCTCCCTCTCCCATATGCCTTTCCAGTACCTCTCAGTCTCCAGCCTTGGTGGGTCCGCTCTGGTGTTATTAGCCAATTTATTTGTCTGGCTTCATTATCTTGTGTGTACCTCTTTAGGCGGCTGGCCAAGGCTTGGAGCCTATATATATATATATGTATATATATTAGTGCTGTTATGCGATAAAAAAAATTGAGAGATTAATTATGATCTGTAATTAATTAATCTAATTAATCTCATTTTAATCTCACCTAAAAAATGCTGAGAAAAGCCTTCAATTTGAGGTATTTTCATTTAAATTCATTATTACATTATTGTGGCAGATCAAAAGACTGATATAGAACAAAAAAAGTGACTTTATAAAGTCATTTATTGTTTAACAAATCTCTCCAAATTGGCTGTTGAGCCCAAGTCTCCATGAATAAGAAACTGTTTGCTGTAAAGTAGCAAAGACGAGGAAATCTGAACATAATAACTTTTGTCTACTTAAAGACAATAAAACGTCCAGTCTTTCCTTAACCATATTAAAAATATTATTGATAGAGAAATGCTTTATATATGAGATCACTGGTTTTAGTCCTTGTTTTAGTCCTGGTTTAGACCTGCTTTAGTCCTACTTTAGTCCTAGTTTAGTCCTGGAATGGATTAATCCTGCTTTTAGTCCTGGTGTTAGTTCTGGTTTAGTCCTGGTTTAGTCCTGGTTTAGTCCTGGTTTTAGTTTTGGTTTTAGTTCTGGTTTAGTCCTGGTTTAGTCCTGGTTTAGACCTGGTTTAGTCCTGGTTTAGTCCTGGTTTTAGTCTTGGTGTTAGTTCTGGTTTAGAGGCTCACAGGAGGAAGCGCGGTTTACGCAGCGTACGCGAGAAAACACGATCCACACGCGGCACACGGGAGCACGTCGGTGTCCGCGCAGTGTCTACGAAAGGAAACGTGGTCCGTGCGTTCTCAGGTTAATGACGATGATGAAGGTGTGTGTTTGTGTTTGTGTGTGTTTGTGTGCGTGTCCCCTCATGTGGCAGGTCACTATAGGACAGTAGTGCAGACATCATGAGCCTATGCAGGCTGTTTTCAGCAGTGACATTTAAGTTGTAGGCAATATTATATTTGTTATTTTCTTTTATATTTCACGTCGGGAGAATAATTTCCAAGACACGAATGCGTTTTTACCTGTGCACTGCTGACTCTGTTCTACTGGCTCTTCGACCTCGTCCATTGTGCGACTGACGCCGTAAACGTCGCTCTTACTGCGCGTGTTTTGTGTGGGTTTCCGACAATGAGTGGAATTGCCGAAATTAAAAAAATGTATAAATGTGTTTTTTGTTTGTGCGTGTGTGTGTTGTTGTCCCAACAACACATAAAAACAGGTTTTATAATAAAGCAACTCACATACAGAAACAGTAAAGTTAGAGATTAAAAATGAGATTAACGCGATTAAAAAACATAACGCGCTAAATATGACTGTAATTAATTAATCGCAATTAACGCGATAATTTGACACCCCTAATATATATATATATATATATATATAATATATATATAGATAGATAGATAGATAGATAGATAGATAGATATAGATATATATATATCGAGAGAGAGAGATTGTTATGCTTTTGTTAATTTACATTCTCTTCTTTTCCACTCCACAGAAAACTGTTTCATCTCACCACTGATGGATCCCTCTGACTTTTTTGACAATGCTACGCACCAAATGAGCATATTCAGTGAAAATCCATGTTCATTTTATCCCCCTTCTTGCCAGGAGCCTCCAAAACACTCTCTGATTCAACATCTCCAACCAGGCATGCCTAGACAACTAGGTAGGATGCATGGCAGCAACATGAGCCTTCAAAGAAACCAGGATCCAATTTTGGAAAGACAAAATTTGGCAACTGAAATTAGGTCAAAAGTGGGAACAGAAAACAACATTTTGGGTGTTAAAAAAAAGAGGATGGATTATTTCAATTGGAATCAAAATTTACCACAAGTAAAAAAAAAGAGACCAGAAAGCCATGAACAATCTGAAAATATTGGCAGAAAAAAAAGAAAAGACAGGGATGAACTCAAAGAACAGGTAGGACAATTGAAGGAAAGGCTGGTGACCCTACAGGAGAAAGTGTGGAGGGCATTTGCACAACAGCACTTGTCCCAGAATGACAGAAAATGGAGGAACATAAATGAGCTCTCTGAGGATAAGAGCATAGGGGTGGATAGAAAGGAGGACCTTTTTGCAAATGTACTGAAAAAACATACTGGTAGCCAAGGTCCAAAAGATGTAGTAGTGGAGGCTGGGGAAAGGACATTGGAGTGGAATTGCACTGAACTTTCCAGGGGAGACTGGGATGGAGAACAGTGCATGGTAGATAATGGATGTCAGCAGTTTGCACAGTTGTTGAAGGTAGAACTTAGAAATGCTATGGCCATGGTTATTGACCGAGTTCTGACAATTTATACCGAAGCCTCAGAACCAGATTTTTCCTCTCCTCCTGCTGTTTCTTTTGTGGCTGAAGCAAATGAAAAGTGGGGGATTGTGAAAAAGATATCAAAGAGAGCACATGAGATGGATGGCAAAGACCGTAACACTGCTCCAAAACAATCAAATCAACCAACTGAAGCAACAGCTGTCCGGATACAATTGCCTCCTCTTGGCCCATCCAGGCCTAACCTTATCTCTCCTGATCCTCTCTCCAAAGACCATTGCTTTTTATCTCACCCTACTGCCCCCTTAGCTCCCCGTTACCCACCTTTTCATCCTCTCCAGTCGATGGACACACCTCCGCTGTTACACTACTCCATGCATCAACTCTTCTCCAGGACACTATCACACGTGCCCTCGCCACCAGTCAAGAACTTCCATGTGACCAGAGAACCCTTGGCTGAGTTAGAGCGACCAGTGTTCAGTGTGCTGATGCCTCAGCTGGAACTCCTGGAGCCCCCTCTATCCAGTCAGTTCACAGACATGGAGAATGGAAGGAGAGCAGAGGTGGGAATAAGAGAAGCTGGAGGTGCAGTGGACCTATACCTCTCATCATCAGTGATATCCTTTTTCAATGTGGTAAATAATGTAGTCCAGGGGTGTCAAACTCAAATTCACAGAGGGCCAAAATTAAAAACTGGGACTAAGTCATGGGCCAACCTAAATATTTATAGAAAAATTTCAACAACATCTGCATGTTTTCTCTTCTTTTGAGATACGTAATGTTAAAACTTTTCTTATTAAAATAAATGTTTAATAATAGTTTTGCTTAAACATTGAATCCAGAACAAGCATAATATAAAATAATAACAAAATTTAAAATAACTAACACCTCTATAGTCTTTCTGTAGCCGGTGGGCCAGCTCTAATACATATTTGATATGATCTGAAATTTGGCAGCTGGGCCTGAGTTTGACATGTCTCATGTAGTCCATTTTGATGGAATGCACTCTATGATGGTAATTCTTTGTCCTCATACTAAATGAAACTGAACTAAATCTATCAAAACATGACCTTTTTATTTATGCTTTTATGTTTTCTTTCAATTTGCTGTATTAACATATATACTATCTAAGACATTGCCCCATTTTCACCTAGTAACAGATTTTTGGGACAGTGTAACTTCAGAAGCTGTTTTCTTTTCTCCCACTTTTCACTCTTGTTTTTCACAATAAAAATGAAATAAAAGATGAGGGATAAGTAATTTTCACCTATTGTTTTGTGTTATATCTGCTTTACACCAATACTAAATCTATATACAGTCCCTGACAAAAGTCTTGTCGCTTATCCATTTTGTAGAAAAAAAAAAGCTTATAACCTGACTTTAAATGAATCGATTGGTTTGAGAAATGTCTCATATGAAAGCTAAAACCCTCCCAAATTATGCTCAATATACTAAAATAAATTTGCTTCACTGAAGAAAGATTGATCATTTAATGAACACAGAAAGGTCAGATTTTGGCAAAACAAAAGTCTTGTCGCCTTGTCATATGATGCACCCAATCCTAGATTACAGCCTCACCTGTGATCAGTTACTGATCAGTCAATTAATGGGTGTGTAAAAAAAGAACCCCAGCACATCAGACCTTCACATCAACTGCATCTTGACCTCTGACAACATGCTTAAGCTCCACCCTGAGACCAAAGCGTTAATTATCAAGAGGCTGAAGACCAGATCCACTGCTGAGGTGGCTGACACCTTCAATGTGTCAGCGTCAAGTACAAAGAATAAGAAAAAGATCTGAAATGACTGGAGATGTTTTTGACAAGCCCAGGTCCAGCAAACCCCACAAGACAACTGCTCGGGAGGACCATTTGTTGATTTGAAAATCCAAGGCCAGCCCCTTTTCCACTGCAGCAGGGCTCCACCAGACCTGGTCACCTCAAGTCCCTGTGTCAACCAGAACAGTTTGTAGAATTCTGTCTCGAAATGGCCTCCATGGTCGAATCAGTGCACAGAAACCAGCACTAAACAAAAGGCAATTAAAAAACCGTGTGGCATTTGCCAAGGCCCACAGCCTGCTAAAAGGATGGACACTGGAAAAGTGGCAGAAGGTGGATTTCTCAGATGAATCCTCGGTTGAATTACATCACAGCCGCTGCAAATATTGCAGGAGACCTACTGGAGCCCGCATGGATCCAAGATTCACCCAGAAAACAGTGAAGTTTCGTGGCGGAAAAATCATGGTCTGAGGTTCCATCCAGTATGGGGGTGTGCGAGACATTTGCAGGGTGGAAGGCAATATCAATAGCCTAAAATATCAAAAAGTATTAGCTACCGCTTACATTCCCAACCATAAAAGGGGTCAAATTTTGCAGCAGGATGGTGCTCCATCGCATACTTCTATCTCTACATCAAAGTTTCTCAAGGCGAAGAAGATCAAGGTGCTCCAGGACTGGCCAGCCCAGTCACCAGACATGAACATCATTGAGCATGTCTGGGGTAGAATGAAAGAGGAAGCATGGAAGGCAAAACCAAAGAATCTTGATGAACTCTGGGAGGCATGTAAGACTGCTTTCTTTGCTATTCCTGATGACTTCATCAACAAATTGTATGAATCATTGTGGAACCGCGTGGATGCGTCCTTCAAGCTCATGGAAGTCATACAAGATATTAAATATGGATCTCACAGCACCACTACTTAATTCACTGACGTTATGCAACATATTTTTGTATTTGAAGTAAATTATTTGTTCAATTTTCTATAGGCGACAAAACTTTTGTCTTTCCAAAATCTGACCTTTCTGTGTTCATTAAATGATCAATCTTTCTTCAGTGAAGCAAATTTATTTTAGTATATTGAGCATAATTTCGGAGGGTTTTAGCTTTCATATGAGATATTTCTAAAACCAATCGATTAATTTAAAGTCAGGTTATAAGCTTTTGTTTCTACAAAATGGATAAGCGACAAGACTTTTGTCAGGGACTGTAAATATCCAGTATACTGTTTGGATTACTGTGTTGTCTTAAATGTCTTCACATTGTTTTTGCTCCTTGTTTAGCAAAAGTGTGGAGGTTAACCTTAACAATGTGTACAGTCAGGAGGGATTGTCCCCATGTCATCTGAAGAAAGCCAAACTCATGTTCTTCTACACACGCTATCCCACCTCCAACACACTCAAGACCTACTTTCCTGATGTTAAGGTTTGTGAGGCTAAAGTACAAAATAGTGATATTGGGCCTCATTCTCAAAGCGTTCTTACAAATAATTTGTACTTAAGGGCTTCTTATGAACATTTTGGCATTCATGAAAAGTTTTCTTAACTGAAAATGTTCTCACGTCCTACAATCAGTCACTCGTAAGATGTCGTAAAATGTTTTTTTTTTTTTTTTAGAATATTATTATTATGATAATTCAACAGAAAATTAAAATTCCTTCATGATGTTGCTGAATTAGGTGCAACTGTCATTTAAGAAGGAATCTGGCTGCTTAAGAACACTTTGTGAATTGAGCGCAGCATTCGCTTAGCGTCTTCTTAAAGTGCAAGGTAATTTTTATTATTATTTTTTAAAATATTCATGAATGATGAAGCCCATTGATGCTTTATATAGTTTATATAGTTCTTTTCCAGATGCTCATTTTTATTATTTTGTGCATTATTTGTTAATTTCATACTGACAAGCTAACTGCTTCTGTAGACACAGCTGCCCTGGAGTAATCTGGTGGAAGCATGGCTGTTAACCTGAGCCATCAGACAAGTTCCCAAAAATTTCGTCCAAGTCAAGTTTGAACCATTGACCTGTGGGTTGGTGAAAGAAAAATATGAGGTTGTGCATTTGTTTGCTCCCCTGACTGTCATGCCTAGCAATTATAACATCCACTAAGAATATTACTATATTATCACTACCATAGAGCTACTATACTTATACTTCCACAACATTAATTATAACTACTACTAATAATAACACAATTAGTAGTAGTTCTTTTCCAGATGCGTTACTTCTACTCTACATACCATACATCACTTAAAAAATGATAATTTGATTTAAATAATATAATATAATTTAATAATATAATATAATTTTGATTATTTCAAATATGAACCAAACAACATACAAGACACAGGACAGACATTACGATCGAAGATTACATACAAATACGAACAGAGGTGACAGGGGCTGGTGACAGTGTGACCTTGTGTGTGTGTCTGTGTGTGTGCATATGCGTGTGTGTGTGCGCGTGTGTGCGTGTCTGCATGTGTCTATCATGTATGGTATATACAATTGATAGTATCATACTCATTATGAGCAATGATAATACACAGTTAAAGTTGCTCAGCCTTGGTGTAACTTGTGTGTTCTGTGCAGTTCAGCCGCTGTGTGACCTCTCAGATGATCAAGTGGTTCAGTAACTTCAGAGAATTCTTCTACATTCAGATGGAGCGCTTTGCCCGGCAGGCTGTACAGGAGGCACTAACACAGTAGGTTAAGCTTTATATTCTATACTGATGCTAATATTAGTACTACTGCAAAAACAGTCATTATTAAATGTTAACATCCTGTAATTATTCAAGGATGACACTGAAATGTCTAATCAGGGACACATTAAAGATCAGTTAAGTGCAGTGTTATTATAAATAATATATCTACAGTGTTAAACGGCTTTCATATTTGGCCAGAGTAAATTCTAAAAGCTGTACAAGATCAACACTGTACCCTAGTTAGGCCCGAGCACAAGAGGCTGGCGAAGGGCCTATTAGGAATGCATTGCGATGCTCCTAGTGGGTGGGAATTGAAATGACGCGATGTGACTCGCCCGTAGTGAACAGGATAAACTTATTTTTTTAATTTATTTTATTTAATTGATTATTTATTATTTTAATTCATTTGTATTTTATTTTATCTCATTTTTATTTTCAATGTATGCAAATTTAAAATGTCATCATTTAAAATTTATGTCTTTGAATTAAATTACAATCAACTTAAATTAATTTATTTTAATTTGATTTATTATTTAAATTTATTTGTATAGTTTTTTTATTTTTATATTACATTTACGTAAATTTACGCAAATGAATCAAATTTATGGTGATTTATGCAAATAGATCTTAAATTTATGTATTTAATTTGTTTAGTTATAGTTTGTTTATTATAATTATTATTGTTTTAATTATTAATTATTACATTAATACATTTTATTTTGATTTAATATTTATTAACAATGTATTAATGTATTTTATTGATTTTTATATTTTATGTTAATGTATGCAGATTTATTGTAATTTATTAAAACTGATGGTGATTTTTGCAAATTTATGTTGATTTACACACATTCTTTTTAATTCACGTTAATTTATTTTATATATTTGAATGTATGTAATATTAAATGTATGTATTTAATTGAGTGTTATTTTTATTTTATTTAATTACTTGAATTTCTTATTTTCTTATTTTATTTATTGTATTTTAGATGTTAATTTCTGTACACACACACACACACACACACACACACACACACACACATATATATATATATATATATTATATATATATATATATATATATATATATATATATATATATATGTTTTTTTTTTTGTTTTTTTGTTTTTTTTACAAAAATACACAAAAATTTAGAAAAACAGCATTGGTATGGTTAGGGTAGGAGTTAGGGTTAGGGTAACAGTTGGAGTTAGGGTTAGGCGTAACGTTAGGGTTGAGGCATTAGAGTCATGGTTGGAGTTTGGTTACTCGGCCTACTGTTCAGAAGGAATGACGTTGTTACCGGGGCCCCACTCTGGAGCCAAGCAAGCGTCTGGTGGCCGGGCCTTCCCTCATGGGGCCTGGCCTGGCACAGCCCGAACAAACAATGTGGGGCCACCCTTCCGTGGGCCCACCACCTGCAGGAGGATCCATATGGGGCCGGTGCAGAGAGATCTGGGCGGCAGTTGAAGGCGTTGGCCTCGGCGACCGGATGTCCAAACATGGAGATTAGCTCTGGGGACATGGAATGTCACCTTGCTGGGGGGGAGAGGCTTGACCTTGTGCAGGAGAATGAGTGTTACCGACTAGATAGAGTCGGCTTCACCTCCACGTGCAATTTGGCCTCTGGAACCCAACTCCTTGAGAGGTGCTGGACTCTCCATTTCTCTGGCGTTGGCTGCGGGGAGCGGCAACGGGCTGGTGTGGGCCTGCTTGTTGCCCCACAGCTCAGCCGCTGTGTGTTGGAATTCACCCCAGTGAACGAGAGAATTGCGTCCCTGTGCCTTCAGGTCGGGGAAAGGTCTCTCACTGTGTTGTCGGCCTACGGGCTTAACAGCAGTGCAGAGTACCCGGCCTTCTTTGAGTCCCTGAGAGGGGTACTAGAACTAGGGGTACTAGAACAACTCTGTTGTTCTACTGGGGGACTTCAACTCCCATGTGGGCAATAACAGTGACACCTGGAGAGGGGTGATTGAGAGGAATGGCCTCCCTGATCTGAACCTGAGTGGTGTTCTATTATTGGATTTCTGTGCTAGTCACAGTTTGCCCATAACGAACACCATGTTCGAGCACAAAGGTGTCCATCAGTGCACATGGCACCAGGACGCTCTAGGTCGGAGGTCGATGATCAACTTCATCATCATGTCATCTGAGAGAGAGGCTCTGAGCTGTCAACTAATCACCACCTGTTTGTGAGTTGGGTTCGCTGGCAAACGAGGCAATCCCAGAACCCGGTGGTGGACACTGGAACTAAGGGATGCTGTCAGGCTGAAGAAGGAGTCCTGTCAGGCCTTGTTGGCTCGTGGGACTCCTCAGACAGCTGATGGGTACCGGCGGGCCAAGCATGCTGCAGCCTGTGCGGTCACAGAGGCAAAAACTCGGAGCTGGGAGAAGTTCAGGGAGGCCATGGAGGAAGACTATCAGAGGTTCTGGCAAACCGTCCAGCGCCTCAGGAGGGGGAAGCAGTGTTTCACCAACACTGTTTACAGTGCAGGGGGAGAGCTGTTGACCTTGACTGGGGATGTTGTTGGGTGGTGGAAGGAATACTTTGAGGATCTCCTCAATCCCACCGCCATGTCTTCCAAGGAGGAAGCCAAGGCTGGGGACTCAGAGGCGGACCATCACCCTGGCTGAAGTCACTGAAGTGGTTGGCAAACTCCTTGGTAGCAAGGCGTCGGGGGTGGATGAGATCCGCCTGAGTATCTTAAGTCTCTGGATGTTGTGGGGCTGTCTTGGCTGACACGCCTCTTCAACATCGCGTGGCGGTCGGGGACAGTACCTCTGGACTGGCAAACTGGGTGGTAGCCCTTCTGTATAAGAAGGGGGACCGGAGGGTGTGTTCCAACTACAGAGGAATCACACTCCTCAGCCTCACCGGTAAGGTCTATGCCAGGATACTGGAGAGGAGAATCCGGCTGATAGTTGAACCTCGGATCCAGGAGGAGCAGTGTGGTTTTCATCCTGGCCGGGGAATACTGGACCAGCTCTATACTCTCCATTGGCTGCTCAAGGGTTCATGGGAGTTTGCCCAACCAGTCCACATTTGCCTTGTGGATTTGGAGAAGGCATTCAACTGTGTCACTCGTGGTGTCCTGTGGGGGGTGCTCTAGGAGTATGGGGTTTGGGGCCCTTTGCTAAGGGCTGTCCGGTCCCTGTATGACTGCAACAGGAGCTGTGTTAGCATTGTCGGCAGTAAGTCAGACCTGTTCCCGGTGCATGTTGGACTCCGCCAGGGCTGCCCTTTGTCACCAGTTCTGTTCATTGTATTTATGGACAGAATTTCTAGGCACAGTCAGGAGGTCTGGTTTGGGGACTACATGATCTCATCTCTGCTGTTCGCAGATGATTTTGTCCTGTTGGCTTCATCAAGCCAGGACCTGCAATGTGCACTGGGGAGGAGTGCAGCCAAGTATGAAGCGACTGGGATGAGGATCAGCTCTTCTAAGTCCGAGGACATGGTTCTCGCCCGGAAAAGGTAGCTTGCCCTCTCCGCATGGGTGGAGAGTCCTTGCCTCAAGTGGAGGAGTTCAAGTATCTTGGGGTCTTGTTCTCGAGTGAGGGGAGGATGAAGCATGAGATTGACAGTCAGATCAGTGCAGCGTTGGCAGTGAATGGGTCGCTGTATCGGACCGTTGTGGTGAAGAGGGCGCTAAGTCGAAAGGCGAAGCTCTTGATTTACCGGGAAATCTACATTCCTACCCTCACCTATGGTCATCAGCTCTGGGTAATGACCGAAAGGACGAGATCGCAGATAAAAGTGGTCGAAAGGAGCTTCCTCTTCAGAGTGACTGGGCACTCCCTTGGAGATAGGATGAGGAGCTCCATCACACGGGAGGAGCTCGGACTAGAGCCGCTGCTCCTCCACATCGGGAGGAGCCAGGAAGGTGGCTCGGGCATCTGTTCCAGATGCCTCCTGGGCATTTCCATAGGGAGATGTTCCGGGCATGTCCCACTGGAAGAAGGCCCCAGGGAAGACCCAGGACACGCTGGAGGGACTTTGTCTCTTGGCTGGCCTGGGAACGCCTCAGGGTCCCCCCGAAGGAGCTGGAGGACGTGTCTGGGGTGAAGAAAGTCTGGGAGTCCCTGCGTAGACTGCTGCCCCCGTGACCCGACCCTGGATAAGTGGAAGAATATGACTGGGTTAGTGTGGACGTGGTATTTGCGGGTTGTGGTGTTTGTGGGGTGGGGTGTTTGCAGGCTGCAGAGCTTGCGGGGCGTGGCACTTGGGGGGCGAGGTGTTTGCGGGTGTGGCATGCATGGGATGCGGTGTTGGGGGGTGCGGCATCCCATGCAGCCCCCGTGACCCGACCCTGGATAAGTGGAAGAATATGGTTGGGTTAGTGTGGGAATGGTACTTGCGGGTTGTGGTGTTTGTGGGGTGGGGTGTTTGGGGGCTGCAGAGCTTGCGGGGCGTGGCACTTGGGGGACGAGGTTTTTGCAGGCGTAGCATGCATGGGATGCGGTGTTTGCAGGGTGCGGCACTTTCGGGTCACGGCGTTTGCAGGTGCAGCGTACCGTAGCCGTACCTGCATACATGATATTTTATTTTATAAGATAGAGATGATTTTATACAAACAGCACATTAGAGTAATATAAAATTTGGCCTTGTTTGGTGCTGGTTGGTCCAGGGTTAGCCTGGTTGGTCCAGGGTTAGCCTTGATGTATTAGGTTTGGTCCTGTTCTAGCTCTCATTTTAGTTAAGAACACCATACAATTTCTGTTACATGTACATACAAATTTCCTCTCACTGTTTTTCATTTCAGGGATGTGACACACAAGAGCACAGACAGGCGACTGAGGGCTGGACAAGACACAGAGTTGTATCGCATTTTAAACATGCACTACAATAAAAGTAATGTATACCAGGTAAGGAACAATGTACTGCAATACAAGTATTGTGTATCAGATAGAACCAGAGTATTATAGTAAAAGTACAGTGTGCTAAAGTACTACAATTAAGATTCTGTGGACCAGGTAAAGACAAATATATAATAAAAGTACTACATAAATAATACCAATTCCAAAGACAAATAAGGGCTATAGACCTGCAGCCCTAATAAGTATTTTGATGAAATGTTTTGAAAAGATAATGATCGACAGACTAAAATCTGAAGTTTCTTATCTTGACCCACTGCAATTTGGATACAGACAGGGCCTTACCACAGAGGATGCAGTCATCAGTCTGTCGTACCTGATCTGTAAATATTTGGAATCTCCTGGGACTTATACAAGGGACTTATTTGCAGATTTTAGTTCTGCATTAGTTACTGTAAGCCCCAGTCTTCTTGTTCAAAAACTATTTGACTTCAATGTAAGCCCTGCTATTGTGAAATGGTTTTACTCTCTCTTAATAAATAGAATGCAACAAGTGAGAGTCAACAGTACTTTATTCAAAGCCAAAAATTGTAGTACAGGTGTGCCACAAGGTGCAGCAAGTTCACCCATTTTGTTCACGCTGTATACAAATGAATGTTGGAGCAGTCAGCCAGGCAACAAAATCATTTTCAGATGACACAATAATTGAGAGCCTTCTTAAGGGGTGCTCACACCAAAACAAATGGTGTGAACAAGGTGAACGATTTACATGTTAACCCTATGTAAAGGCGTGTTGACGCGTGAATAAAAGTTCTGCGGCGCAAATGATGCAAATTGGGCTGCGCAATTCTCGAATTCTCGCATTTGGAGCGTTTTGAGCAGCATGAATAGGCGAAATGAGCAGAGCGAATTTGCGAAACTGGTGTTGATGCGCAAATCCCAAAGGGGGCTCGCGAAATTCGGTTGAAATTTGACATTTTTGAACTTTCTGCAAATATTCGGGTCACATCAACCAATTGGGGCCGTGTTCTGATAATGACGTATAAAGCTGAGACAGACATGAACTTTCATTCAACATGGAGGAGACCTCAGTATTCCTGTGGGAAACGAGCTGATATTACATGATACCAGCACGAGCCAGAGACCGGAATAAACTCCACAGAGCAGGACCTACACAAGACTCTGTCCCCCTCTCCTTTATTCTGGTCCCGGTCTCAGTCCCAGTCTGGTCCTGGCCCTGGTCTGGTCCCAGGCTTCATCCTGGTCTGGGATGCTGAACTTTTGCACCACATACGGGCTGAACTAGAACTAAACCAGGACTGAACCAGAGCAAAATCTGGTATAAGCCAGAACTGAACCAGGACTAAACCAGGTCAAAATCAGGACTAAACCAGGACTGAGCCAGGACTAAACTAGTACTAAACCAAGACTAAACTGGCCTGGTCCCAGTCTCAGTCAAGCTCCAGCCACGGGCTCTCTCAGCAGGGCCGGAGCTCGGAGCTGAGGCTCAGAGCCAGAGCTCGAATGAGCCCGGGACCAGACCGGGACCAGACCAGGACTGAGACTGGGATCAGGCTGACTTATTCCTGGTTTAGTCCCGGTTTGGTCCTGGTTTAGACCTGGTTCAGTGCTGGTTTAGAACTGGTTTCATCCTGGGTCAGTCCTGGTTCAGTCCTGGTTTAGTCCTGGTTCAGTCCTCATTTAGTCCTGTTTTAGTCCTGGTTTACACTTTGTTCAGTCCTGGTTTACACCTGGTTTAGTCCTGGTCCAATTCTGGTTTAGACCTAGTTTCGTCCTGGTTTAGTGCTGGTTCCATTCTGATTCAGTCCTGGTGTAGTCATGTTTTAGGTTTAGTCCTGGTTTACGAAGTCCGGGACCAGACCGGGAACAGGACCAGGACTGAGTCCAGGAACAGAATAAAGGAGAGGGGGACAGAGTCTGGTGTAGGTCCTGCTCTGTGGAGTTTATTCCGGTCTCTGGCTCATGCTGGTATCATGTAATATCAGCTTGTTTACCACGGCCCCTGATTGGTTGATGTGACGCGAATATTCACAGAAAGTTTAAAAATCTCAACTTTGGCAAATTTTGCAAGCTCCTCCCTTTTGAGAAGTTGCACGTCAACACCAGTATCGCAAATTTGCGAACGAGCGAATCGCGCCTCCCAATTCGCAACATTTGCACAGCAGAACTTTATTCACGTGTCTACGTGCCTTTACATAGGGTTAACATGTAAATCATTTGCCTTGTTCACGCCATTCAGGTTTGGTGTGAGCACCCCTTAATGGTGACTGTATCTCCACCTACCATCAGGAGAATGATGCTCATTGCATTTTTTTACATTTCTATGTTCTTTTATCTTTGCATTGTGTAGGCTAATGTTGAATCTTCACTGTTCATCCAAGGCTAAGTCTATCCTTGAAACCCCAAAAGTTTTCAAAGCTATCTGACTTTGAATGTGAGTGGCTGATTGCTCATGCTTGCTGAGGCTTCTAGGCAAATTCTTTACAATATCCAATTTGAGTCCATACATTGCCATTAATTGAAAACAGGGAAAACAGAAAAGGTGGTTTCTCATAGAACATCCACACAGCCAGTTTTTTCAAGCTTACCGCTCCGTTTGAAGAAAGAACGGGTATTGTTTTTTCCTGTAATCAGCTCCATTTTTGGTCTTCCTTTGGTTATTACCTCTTTCTTTGATTCAAAATCCACATGTTATTTGTATCGTATACAGGCACTGTTTATTAGGTATTACCATGGGATAACATTATTCACTGAGCAGCGCAGCAAGGTGCCGCCTCACAATGCGTTTCCTTCCTGTATTTGAATGGAACAGGCAGAAATTTTGACATTCTTAATTCAAAGTATATGTATTTTAAAGGATTTGTATGGAAAAGGGATTTGCAATACATACAAGGTGACAATTATTAATATATTATATTTTATAATCAGCGTTTCTTTTTCTATTCAACATTGATTGATGAATCTTGAATCTATTCAAGATTCAGGTGAGGCTCTGCTTCCCCTTGCCTCTCCTGAATGCATGTCACAAAAAACTCTGCAACATATCCACATGATCAAACACAGTACAACATGATGATTTGCAAGGAGGTGGATAATATTAATAATAAATATAGTTGCAAGCAGCAATGATTGGCCCTTATGTGTGCCTACACCGCACCCCACAAACGCTGTGTCCCACAAATGCTGTGCCATACATACATTTTAAATACATACTTTTAATATAAAAATATATAAAATAAATGAATGAAAATTTGCGTAAATCAACATAAATTTGAATAAATTACCCTAAATGTATATAAATTACCGAAAACTGTATATAATCATTTATTAAAATAAAATACATTTAAATAATAAATCAAATTAAAATAAATGTAAGTAAACTTAAATGAAATATTAATTTTATTTATTGTATTCCTTCATTTAAAAATTAATTTAAATGAAAAAATAATAATAATAATAATTAATCAAATTAAAATAAATTAAAGTAAAATTAAATTTGCGGACTTTATGTACTCTGACTACATCTCGTCCTAGCAGGAGCATGATCTTAGCTTTCAAGTCGATGTCTGGGATTTGCGGTGCCAGTGACTTACGATGAGGATGGTAGAGAGCTGCGTCTGGGATAGGGATCTCATCTCTGTTCAGGGATTTCATTACATTCTTTAAGACTTGCAGTGGTGTGTCTTTCACTTTTGCATTCGCTACATTGTACTTTGGCTTTGCAATTTTTTGCCATGTGTGACGACGAAGAACAACATTTAAAGCACACATTATTTTCTTTTAGAAACTGCTTGCGATCTTCAATAGATTTTTCTCTGAATGCACGACACGTGCACAGTGGTTGTGGTTTCCTGTGAATAGGGCACAGTACTCAGTTTTAGTTGGAGGCTGGCCAGTATTGATAGCTCTCCCTTGAGACATCTCTGTTTTGTGTACGCCAACTTCCTTTGTGTTGGTCTGGACTGTTTTCTCTGCTCATGGAGCTGTGTCATTGTGAGAGATGAAGTTAAAACTTGAGTCACTAGCGACAGTGGCTTCATGACAAAGAAAGTCCACAAAACAAGAAAATGGAGGATAGGACACTTGTTTCTGTTGCAGGTAGTTTTTGTAAAATGGGGTTGACTCCCCTTGCAGTATCAAGGAAAGACAGACCTGGTAAGTCTCCTTAATTCTTAGCTGATTATAGCTCCATCAACATATCACTTATCACAGTTTAGTCAGTTTTGAGTAGTCTTTTTTTGTCACCTTTGGGACGGCATCAAGTCTTTTGAACAGAGATTCTTCTATCACCTCTGCTGAACCATATGTCTTCTCCAATCTTTGCCATATCATTTCCAAACCTGCTTCTGGGTGATTGATATGTATTGTTCTTATCCACACAACATGTTCTGCAGACTCCTTGCCAAGCCATTTCAGCATCCATCTCTTCACTTACAGACAGGTGTAAGCCATCAGTTGCCATTAGGAACAACTGTTTCCAGGCTCTAAAGTTCTCAGGCTTATCATTAAATTGGAGCAAGTCTGTTGAAGCAAGCTCACGACGAGCCTGGTATTGCACAAAGTCGTTAACATTTTCGCTATTGATATTTGTTTTTGGTGGGATAGGACTGAGTGCGATGCACAGATGAAGCATTGCCATCTTGAAACCTTACTTCTTGTGGCTTAGAGAGGTACTCATCATTGTATGAGTGAGATGGCTGCTGAATGAGATGGAATGGCAGTAAATCGGTGCTGGCTCGGTGTGCTGGAGTGAAAGGTTTGGCCTCAGCTTTTAAAACATTTCTACAAGTGGTACTTGGTTCAAATTTGACAAGTGTTTGCAAATCCCATGTTTGTTCGACAACATATTGCTCAGTGCTTTCTGCCGATTCTGGGGATGGGATAGAGTCTAGCTTGAACTTAAAACTGTGCTTTGTGCTTTCCACTTCACAGGCAGCTTAAAGGGCTTCAGCTTCTGCTATTGCTGCTGCTGTTTCTTTCTCACTGTTGAGCATTTCCATAGATGCCTCCACTTTGGCTTTTTCCACTTTTAGTTTCATTTCCTTTTCAGCATATTCAAGGCATGCTTTTGCTGCTTCTGCCTTGGCTTTGGCCTTTGCAACTGCTGAGCCACTTGACGCACTTGACAGATTTCTCATCCATTGTATCATTTGTTTATGCACCTCTTTACTCTGATGGTGGTCCACTTGCTGCATGGGACAGTGCAGTGCAGTCTTTGTTTTCCAGCTCAAACAGCGTTATCTTGCCCACTTGACAGCTGTGGTTTCACTGTTCTGTCCTCGCTATATTTGCTGAATACAACTAGAAAGACAGCTAAACTCCTTCTTGACATCAAGACCCTGAAGACTTTATCTCGCTGTCCACCTATCTCGTTCAGTTTCACCTTTTCTTGACGTGGCAAGAAAAGGTGAAACTGAAACAGATATGAAACAGAAATTACAATGTGCACCTTCAACATGTTAACATAACAACATAGCAAAGTATGCAAAAGGAATGCAGCATGTCTATTCACAATCTGACTATATATCACTACCATACAATATTTTTTAGCTTTTTATAATATTTGTTTCTTCAAATGAAATGTCATATAAAACCAAACGTAAAATTGCACCCATTAAAACCCCATTCACATGAACCAATATGGCTACAGAGCAATTCAACATGGTACGGCATTATCAATTTTGAACTTCCCTTTCCAACCCAACACTCTATGATTTTCCATCAAATAATCATATACAAATGAAGATATAACAAATAATCAGTACATACCCATGATGCTACCAAAGGCATAAGATGTATATAGATGAGTCTGGATTAACTTGGATGAAAACCAACACCTCTCAGAACCATGCTTTACTGAACTTCCTGATTTTAGTGTCACATAACCTACTGATACAACTATTCCTTTCTTAAAGGAGCCACAACACAAGAAAGCATGAACACAGAAACAAAATAGTAATTAGCAGCTCAGGTGGAAAAACTAGAACAGCACATCAATATTACTGCCCCCTGGTGGAGCCCATGGCGTTGGCGTAATAATATTTTTTCCTTGTCTTGTCATGATCTACTTCTGTGTAAAATGTTCAGATTGTACGTGCCAGTTTTATTTTTGGACTCATTCCTTTTCCCTAATGCATTTTTGAGGTGGTTGAGGGCACTGATGAGCCATTTTATTTATTTACTGAAAATGTAAATAGCCAAAAGTTAGAGAAGAGTGAGGTTTAACAGCTGGCAAAATTTCAGGCATTTTCATCATGGTTCACTAGGTGAAAAATGAGTGAGTTGGCTAGGAGAAAAATAATGAGAAAGAAAGAAAGAAACAAGAAAGAAGAAAGAATAATATTCTGATACAAGAACAATGTTCCACTTTTTGTTTGGCCAACAAACTATACATTTTGTGAAATCTCAGGCACATTGCTATGTCATGGTGATTGTCCCTGGTCACTATGAGCAACTCACGTCACGTCATTTCACTTCCTGCCCACTAGGAGCATCGAGGAGCAGTTTTGTGATACTAATAGGCCCTTCACCAGTTCTGGCGCTTGGGCCTATTAATATTAATATTAATATTGATATTAATATTAAAAGGGAAATATGGGTTTCCTTAGGGAAGGGGAAATTTAATGAAAAGTGTCACATTTGTTATTTCCTTGTCCTTCACATGTCCATCATTCACAGCACTTCCCCCGCTCCTGGTTCCACCCCCAGCAAAGCAACCTCCTCCATGGCACTGCCAAAAAACAAAGAATCCTTACTGCATGGATAAAGTCATGAATGATTGCTGCACACACACTTTCCTGTACTTAGCTTGTACAGGCATAGAATCATTGTCCAAGCTGTGTGTCTGCTCCCCCCTTTTGGACAAAAAGTGACCCTTACTGTGCTGAGAAAGAAAGCCACATGCATACAAATAAGTTTCCTGAGTAATATTGAGTAATATTTAGCCACTCCACTGCACTGATAAGCAACAGGAAATGGTTACACACACTTGGTGGTTAGGTGGTTATAACTGTCCTGTACTTAGGTGTACTTAGCTGAGCAATTTCCTCCTCTGCATGCTCCCTCCAGACAATGGACAATTTCCAGTTCACTCCTGACACTGTGTCTAGCTCTGCCCCCCCAACTCCACTTGGTGTTGTCACTATACTTGCCTCATGTCGGCATTATACACTTCCTTCTTCTGGTCCATTCTGAGATGTTAGCGCACAGGTGTCAAACATAAGGCCCGGGGGCCAGATCCGGCCCTCCAAGTCCTTTAATCTGGCTCTCGGCTGATTTTCTACTAAAATATTTTAATTATATTTTCTATTAAAATATTGGTAATTTTCTGCAATGTTTATCATATCAGCATCTCCAGCGTCTCTGTGCATGGCCCCTCCCACCAGAGCAGCACAAATGAAGACTTGTCTCTTTCCAAACGCTCTTAAAGGATGATCATTTTGACTGTTGACCGTGACACCCTCATCAGCAAAATGTCAAAAATCAAAAAAGTGGAGCCGAGTGCAGGATTTTCCAAGAAAAATTGACTTATTCCTATTTGTATACAAGTTGATGTTAAAACATTGTGTTGAAATTGCATTTTTCTTAAAGTTTCAGGTTGTTCATAATATTATAATATTTTGTAAAAGAAACAGTTTATTAATTAAAAATAGATTTCTGTAATAGATTTTTGTTTCTCTGCACAAATATTTGAACTTATTGTTATTTTTGGGGTTTATTTGCCATTAGTTTTCTGATCTGGCCCCTTTGGGATTAAAGTAGGTTGGATACAGCCCCCGGACCAAAATTAGTTTGACACCCCTGTGTTAAGAGTGATAGCTGCTTTGATCTGACTTTCTGCTTGAAACAAGATATTTGCTCCTGTCCTGCCGCTTTGTTGCCTATCTCTGACCTGTCACCTCATGATCCAGCTGTGTCGGCTTCCCTTCCTCTTCTGCCAACAGTTCAATGCCCTCTTTTTAGACTTAGACAAACTTTATTTATCCACAAGGGAAATTATTTGGACACAGTAGCTCGCACATGACAATATAATATAATAAAAAAGAGTAAAAATATAAATGGTAATAATAAATTCTAAGTAAGTAGCAAAAAAGAAACAAGTGACAGGTGTCAAATAAGACAATTATATAAATGTATATGTACAAGTCAAAATAAAATAGAAAGATAAGTAATAAAATTAAATCACAGCTTTATACAAGAGGTCACAGGAAGACAGTGCATCAATGGTATAATTATTGACAGGACAGGGTTATCTGTTACATAAAGGTGAGTTGTTTTACATTTGTTGGGAGTATTATCTGTTACACAAGGGTGAGTTGTTGTACAGTTGTAGGGCGTATGGATGAATGTAGTCCTGCACCTCTCGCTTTTTGAGTGAAGCTGTAGGAGCCTGTTGAAAAATGAGCTCCTCTGTCCCTCTATAGTCTGGTGCAGTGGGTGAGCCAGAATGTCCATGATGGAGAGCAGTTGTCTTTCTCAGGAAGTAGAGTCTACTCAGTTGTCCCTCCTGTCCAATCTGTTGTTCATCTGAACACCAAGGTACTTGTAGCAGTCACTATTTCCACCTCATGGCCCTAGATGGTGATGGGCTCCACTGGTGTCTTATTTTTCCTGAAGTCAATCACCAGTTCCTTGGTCTTGTCAATGTTCAGGAGCAGATGGTTTGCCTGGGACCACTCGGCAAAGTTTGCAATCAGTGTCCTGTACTCCAGCTCCTGACCATCTCTGATACACCCAACCACTGCAGAATTATCAGACAACTTTTGCAGGTGGTAGAGCCCAGAGCTGTACTGTAAGTCAGAGGTGTACAGAATAAACAGAAATGGAGACAGGACTGTACACTGGGGGGCTCCTATATTACTGACCGCACTACCAGACAGGGTGCTCCCCAGTTGCGCATACTTAAGCCTGCCTGACATGTAGTCAGTAATCCAGGAGAGCTGGCACCATCCTGAGCAGCTTCTCACTCATCAGAAAGGGCTGGATTGTGTTAAAGGCACTGGAGAAATCAAAAAACAATATCCTCACAGAGCCCTTAACACCATCCAGGTGTGAGTGAGCCCGCTGCAGAAGACAGATTATTGCATCTTCCATGCCTACATGGAAGATGGGCAATCTGCAGAAGATTCAGGGATGGTGCCACCAGGGGACTGAGCTGAGTCAGAACTCTCTCAAACACTTTTTATGACATGAGACGTTAAAGCAACTGGTCTGAAGTCATTAAGTCCAGATGGAATAGGCTTCTTGGGCACCGGCACAATGCAGGAGGTCTTCCATAGCACCGGTATCCTTTCAAGTTTCAGACTCAGTATAAAGAGAAAGTGCAGGATCCCAGTAAGCTGTGCTGCACATGTCCTCAGCACACAGGGCTTTGACTTGGTCTGGTCCAGGAAACTTGTTTTTGGTGAACTTTCTCCAACTGCATTCTCACCTGCACAGGAGACAAGGACACTAGGCTGGGTTCCTCCATGAGGGTGGGCGTGGGAGCAGACGTAATGGGCTGATGAATGGCAGTCTTAGTGGTCTGTGGTGAGGTGTGAAATGGGCGACTGGGAGGTGTAGAGATGGGGATGAGAAATGATTAAAATACAGACTGAGTAGGTTTGACTTCCTCTTCATGCCCTCTACTTCACTTTTAGTATATATCAATCTTAATAGGCAGGGAGGTAGAATCCAGTTAGTCCAGTCTTCCAGTCCACCATGTCCTTTTAAAAACTATCTGCTCACAACAAACACAAATAATCACAACAAATAAAGATTCACACCACATGTAAAGGACCTAACATGGGCTAAACAATTCAAGACATAAAAGTAGATAAGTACTAATTCAATGCATTGGTACATATGGTGTAACTAGTTTAAGGTTTGTGGTGCCAGAATTTGCACCTCTACTATTGTTTGTGATTTTTAGAATACAGTGGAACAAGTTATTCTAACTGTATTGTTACAGCCTCATACCTTAGTAATGCTGTGTTGATCTTCTTTTGTGTGTTCAGGTTCCAGATGGATTCATCAAAGTTTCTGAAGTGGCTTTGAGAGAATTTTATGCTGCTATTTGGACTGGCAGAGATAGTGACCCCTGCTGGAAAAAAGCCATTTATAAAATGATCTGTAAACTGGACAACCATGTACCAGATGCATTCAGACTGCCTGGATGTCCAGTGGGATAGTTCTGCATAAGGTCTTGTGATACTATCCATGACTGTCCAATTGGATTAACATTGGCAGGGAAGGAATTTTCTTCCACAATTATTTAGACACACGTTCCCAAGGAAATGTTATAGAATTTCCAACATGTACACACACGCACGCGCACACGCACACACACACACACACACACACACACACACACACACGTGTGTGTGTGTGTGTGTGTGTGTGTATATACATACATACACACACACACACACACACATTTGTAGTTAAAAAAAATTATTCTATGATTGTTTCTACTGAACAAAATTTAGCACAAATCTGTATTAAAATCACTACATTTGAAGTCTTATAAGACCTAAAAATATGCACAATATAAATTACTTTCACTTTTTTATTTACTCTTTCAGTCAATTTTTTCATGTGATACTTTCACTTTTACTAGAGTCAACGAGAGTCACTTTTATATATATTTTATTGTATATAATATATGGGTTTATGAATTTACATTGTTAATCTGTGTTGTGTAGAATAGATAGAGGGGGAGGTACAGTAAATGATCATCTACTAGTTCTCACTACCTCGTGTAGTGCTTTTTAATATTCCATAAATTTGTGTGTGCACTGACTGAAACATGATTTATTGTACTGATATGGTAATAAACAAGTATGTGTATAACTGTTGACATACAACGCTATTATGATGTACATATTAAAGTGTGGGAGTAAACAGTGACAGTGTGACAGTGCAGAAGAAGTCACTATCAAAGGTCAATCAGTAAGAGAAGAAAAGGCTTATAATTTATTATTAGCAATGTTTTCTTATTCATGTTTTAAATAAACTGTAGATTAGAGACGTTTTAGGGGCAGAACCAGCCCCTGATAGTAAGAATGTTATCACAATCAATGCTTAATGGCAATCCTCAAAAATTACATTCAGTTAAACTGACAAAGAGATCCAATGTGGAGATAGTTCAGTCACATGACTCCGTGACACATGGTCAGCTTCTGAGGCCAAATAGTCTTCATGTTGTGGTTAATCAGGCAAGTCCATTTCAGGGCTGAAGAAAATTGTTCTGAAGTGCTTAACTTGGGTAAATCCAGCCGTCACTATGACCAACAAGTAATTTCAGGCTTTATATGGGAAACATAGCAGATGGAGAGGCAGCTGGGACATCAGCCATACAGCACACATCCAGGATTTTGCATTTGTAAATGTAAGTGACTGTTCTCTAATGAAGAATTTAACTGCTGCCTTAGTCTAATTAAACAATTGGACAAATTTGTCAAAACATGTTACGTTAAATTGGACAAGTTTGTTAAAACATTTTATGTTGAAATATCCAGCATTTCTTAAAGATACATGAAGGGTTGGACCATGGCAGTAACTGGAATACTAATACTGGAGCTCATTCTTTACGTCAGCTGCTTCGTCTGTGGCATTGTGACCGCTGCATCTATAACCATAACCCAGGTAACTTCAATCAAACTCCTCTTCTTCTAACAATAACAACAACATCATAACCTCTTCATTAAACATAACCACTTCTGCAAACCTAACTTCACCCAAACTGCTATTAACACCCTGATAACTTCACTCAAACTCAATCAAGTAATTTCACTTTAAGGTACATACAGTTTTCTGGTTGCGGTTTGCCACCTACTTGTCTCAATTATTGCTGTTTAGAATATTCTACAGATTGGTATTAAAAATTAGTGGAGACAAGCGTGTAAATTAAGTTTTTCAAGGAATATTTAAACTATCAAAACACCAGCAATTTAAAACAGTAACTTTAACATCAAACTGAGGAACATTTAGGCAAATTAGTGTGACATGTGACATCACACGCCTCTACTCTGGGGCTGTGGGTGATTAGTCCCAGAGGTGCACGATCCAACTTTTCGGACCCCATGGAAACAAGCAGTAATGTCATGGGACATGTTTTTCAAGGCATTTCTGAATAATTAAAAATCACACGTCATTGAATAAATGCAAAGTGGACATGTTTAATGATTGGGTAAGAGAGATCAAAGACTCGGCCAAAAACAAGACATTAAAAAGCAGAACAGAAAATAATAATGAAACATTTATGTCTTGTGGGTTTGTTCCTTGTCGGCAGTTCTCTCTGGTGCAATGATAGGCAGTGTTAGGAAGTAACTGAATACAAGTACCAAAAATACATATTCTGAATACTAATTTTGAGTATTCCGATACAGTTACGTTTTTATTTGGTGGTACAGTTACTTTATCAAATTAAAACAAATACATGGCAGTACTTCATTTAGCAATTTTGGCTTTAAAGGGCTCATCTCATGCAAAATAACTCTTTTCACATTGTATCTTATGCACATATACAAGCACAGTTTGGGTTTTGGATCCATTACACAATAGTTCTTACTGATCTTACTGATTTCTTGGAGGCAGTCACAGACTAGGAACTATGAAAGGGCCGCTATTGCTCATCTCTCCGCCCGTCCTGAGAAAGCACAGGCTCCGCCCTCCAAAAGTGACGTAGGCTCTGAGTGAGCCGCCTTTCCTCCGCCCATCTCAGGGAGGGAGGGGGAGACAGGCACCCTGATGGCGGTAGGAATAAACTTTTACAGTTTACAGTGCGTTCAGCCTTTTTGACTGTGTTCCCAAAAATAAACTTCAGCCACTTAGCATACCTTGTTTCTTCTGTCGGCATGCCAAATAATTTCGACTTGCCATGACAGCCAAATACGCACTTTCTCCATGAAGACATGGTTACAAAAAGAGTGTTTAAAGTGAAAAATAAAGATAAATAACGCATAACAGCAGACCTGTATGATGCAGAGGCAGGATGGTGTGTGAGTGGGTGGAGACGGGGTGGAGGCGGGGCGGAGGTGGTGAAGTGGGGGAGGGGGGAAGGTGCGAAACACTTTCTGCTACGTTAAACGTGTCATAGGTGTAGCTGGCTGCATCATCATTGTAGCATTCTTCAGTTGGTTGTCACATGGGAGGGCAGCAGAAATACACAGCAATTTGTTAAAAAACTGCTGAATCAATCTAAAAACCACTTTGGTGACATATACAAGGCCCACACATCACTCTTAGAAGGTAGAAAGCTCTGCAAAAGTTGATTTTGCATGAGATGGGCCCTTTAAAACGCATGTTATTAGTGGGGGAAAAAAGAAAACACTGATTTTGCAGTGCATACATGTACATTTTTTGTCTCTAAATGGACATAGATTAATGCATAATGTCAAGTTTCTTTGTATATGTCATGTTTTTCACACTATAATATAATGCATCTCGAAGTGTTCAAATACAGTACTCTGATTGGACCATGTATCAGAATATTTTGCAAAATACGTTTTAACTCAGTATTCTAAATACCTAAATACAATAACTAAATACACTTTCAAAATATTTTTTCTATCACTGCTGATAGCCCAGGAGGCAGATTTGTGTTTAACCCTGAACTGCTGGTCAATGAAGGGCATGGGGCTGGAAATATTACAGAGATGAGAAAATGCAATTTTTTGCAGCTGTAAAAAGCTTTGTTGATATATTTAATATTATTATATTATTATATATTTAATATTATTATTTATTAATCATATCATATGATACAAGAAGAGCATAGTGAACAGCAGAAATATGAACAGAGGTGTGAACAGAGTAACTTTTCAGATACTATTAACCTGCTGTGCTGTGGATGCTGTATCCACCCAATCTATTCACTATCTATTGTGTTAAATGGCACAGATTGTTTGCTATTTATTCTTTATGCTCATAAAATCAATTTTAAAAGATGTTTTAATTGTGTTTTTGATTTGATGAAATCAAATCATCTAATAGAGAGGTAAATTTTAATTTTTTTTATGGGTTAGTGACACATTTATGACCAAACCCCATTTTAATTTAGTTTATTTTGAATGCAACATATGAAAATAATGCGTGTGTGTATTTATTATTTTTAGATGTGACTTCATTAATTTGTCCACTACACAAATTAATCTACTAAGCCATCTGCTCTGCAGTTCCAGTTCTGCAGAAGTAATGTTACAATTAGAGTTGTCAACTTTAAGGCCTAGGACACACTGCACACATATTTTGCCTTATGCAAGCATAAAAAAGGTACGTGTTAGATGTGTATTTTTTTTTAGATTGTATTCAAAATAAATAGAAATAACAGTTGCATGTTATTAAATATATTTGAGCAAACTGTTACAGAACATTGCAAGATACCAGGCCAACTCTAAGGACAATTTACGGTCCAGCGTCAAATCGTCTGCGGCACAAAACAGACAGTATGCGTTGACGTGAACCCCCTATGCAAAATGTCTGCGTCAACCAGCGTTAAAAATGTTCTAACTATGTGTCGAAGCGATGGAGACAGCAGGGGAAGCAACGCAGGCAATAAGGGCTGTGATTTGTCCTCTCTACCACCACCAAGTACATCTCCTGTACACCACTTCTTTCAATATACATTGAGTAATAATGTGTTTAATTCAGCTTTGCACACATTTGTTTACATTTTACAGAAACTAAACTTAAAACCACATGGCTAATTTGAATAAAGTATAAGAGCTAAAAAAAAAAACAGCTCGCTCCTTGTGCCCTGTGCTCCTTGTTCAGCTTCTGTTGGACTCTGTGTTTCTATCGCGTTGGAGATGGTTCATGTTAGGGATGGGCATTCGATGAAATTTTCTTAATCGATCATCGAGAGAATTAACGATCGATTATCGATTAATCATTAATGTTTTTATATTAAAATGATCATCATTATTATTACTATCTGCACTCCTAATCTGCATAAATAAATTCAACTTTATGACAAATAAACCGTAACCACTTTAGAGCCACATCAGCCCGTTTATTATAATGTGTTTAATTCAGTTTTGCGCAAGTCTCACAGAAACGAAACTTAAAACCGCATTGCTAATTTGCATAAAGCGAAGATAAAACTACAGCTCTTGTGCGCTGATGTGGTTCAACTTCTGTCAGATTAAAAGACATGACTCAGTGGAATACAAGTTAGTGTGACCATATTTGCGTTTGTCAAAACCAGGACACCATACAGGGGATGGGAGGTGGGGACTTGTCATCGACATTGCGCTTCTTTCACCTGGCAAAGCTTTTTCCCACTGGACACAGAAACATATGTGCTGCTTCGTACACTGTACACATGGCCTCACACTTGTCCCGACCGGAACGGAAAGTGTGGAATTTCTTGTACAAGTCATTGTTAAATATGCATATGCACTTCGGTACATTGCAGGCGAACTGACTGTTTGTGTTTGCTCGCTCCTTCTGAGTGCAGAGAGCTACTTGTATGGACCCCTGTTTGGTCACGCTAGGCACAGCAACCTGCATTAGGTTTGTGAATTAAAATTTACGTAATCGATGAAATTCTTAATGATCAATTATTGATTAATCGACTAATCATGCCCATCCCTAGTTCATGTTAAACTTTTCAGAGATCATACGTCTGCAGGTCATACGCATAGACCGTATATATGAATGGACATATATATCCTCCTGTGGCTGTGAATTACTTTGCGGCGCATAGACCTCGACGCAGATCCATACATCAAAAACGACGGCAACAAGGCCACGGTGGCAGTGTGTGTTGAGTTGACACAGAACTCTACTTTGCCCTTAACAGCTTGTATCTGTCACAATAAGAGCCAGTTACACCTGCAAGTGGCAATGACAAGCCTGTGTAACCCCACTAAACCTGCGGTCATGTACATTAATCTGGATCATGTGGTCACACAAATTTACTATGCAATTGAATTTATAGACTTAAATCATAGACAGTTGGCCTTTAATATAATTAATTTACATTTATGTAATAATTAAATACAATATTTTTTGTTTAAAAAATGCATCAAATAAAAAAGTTTACATTTCAATCAATCAATGATGATTAATCATATTTCAAGTGTAGTTAATCTGATTTTTTTTTCTTCACAGAACTAGTTATAATTCAAGGAGCAACTATTGCTCTTGTAAATATTTTGGAACAGTTTAACCAATATCATGAATTTAATGGCCTGTTCTTATTGTTCACAGGGTCAGTTTGCTGGTCTGTGTTTGCTCTATGGACTTGTTTCCTACAACAAAACTTCTGAATCCATTGGAGTCCAATACTCCAGTCCTCCTTCTTTGTGTTACTTTGTATCTTCCATATCAGTCATAATGGCAGTAGTATGCTTCTCTCTCTCCCTGCACTCCCTCTACTCGTTCTGCATTGAAGGGAACATGAAAAGGTGATGCACAATGCAGTTATGTTTGGATTTGTGTTTGTAGTTTACCACTAATTGTGATCTGCTTGTTCACAGGGAGCGTTTGTGGATGACCCTCACTGCCTCTGTCTGCGCAGGGTTCCTCTTCTTCCTGTTCATAACAGGCTTTGTGTTAAGAAACGGCAGCCTCATACTTTGTAACTCTGTCACGCAAACAGTGCCTAATATAACCAGGTGAATTCAGTCAATGTACAGTAGACAGGCTCAATCGTAGCGATTTAAAAACTAAATTTTAAAGCACACATCACAAAGACATTTCAAGACATACACTAATTTTAATTATTCATATTCAGTAACATGATTTGGGTAAATAATGCATGTCTTATTCTTGCTTTAGTTGTGAAGAAGCTCAGTCGAAAGCATGGACTGCACCGCTCAAAGGACACCTGTTTTACAGTAGTTTTTACAAAGCTGAGGTCAGTATATTTAAATTATTTTTTTGCCAGAAACAAATACAAATGAAACAGGTTCACCCATATGTGACATAAAAAGGAGAAACAAAGCAGCAACTCAGTCACCCCAGAGCCAAAAGTACAGATGCTGGCAAAGGGGAAGAAGTGGTTAGAGACATTGTTCAAACAGGCTAGATTTGTTCAGAAAATTTAATTTCTATGTAGACAGCAATGACTTATACATTGACAAAACAATAAATAAATAGAATAAATGATCGTAGGGGTGAGATTACCTATCAGGGGTCTGAATAAAAAATACATGCAAAAATACGACTCAAGCACAGTTCACACTTAAGCTGGGTGTACACTGTGCGATTTTTGACCCTTTTTGAGACGATTTTTCACTCGTGTGACTGTTTTAGGGATCAGGCCGAGTTTTGACTTCATAGTGTGTCATGCTTCGTGCAGTATTAGGCCAGGAGCCAGGTACACCCCTCAGGATGTTTTTTGCTACCTTTTGTCAACGTTTGGTCTCAGGGCCCAAAAAACACAGTTTTTTAAGAAAAGCTATTTGTGAAATTATGTAACAGTAAATATTAAGGTACTGTAACTGCATACCTGGTCAAATAACCCTAAAAGTTTACATGGTGTATCCTGACACATGGGGGAAAATAGCAGAAAAATATTCTGGGGCTTGCTGCCTTTCTACTATCCATGATAGTATATCATGTAGTAGATAGTAGTATACCAAAAGACAAAAAAATTTCTGTCTGCCTGACAAATTGGCAGCAAAAGTGATCATTTTCAAGCATTTTATTGCATATATCACCATCTCAAATGTACATGAAAAACTTACCTTTTATAAGCTTCAATTTAAGCCCAAGATGACCCTTGTATCTAGAGGGAAACAGCTGCTATGACCAAAGATCTTCACTGTACCTCAAATCGGCAGAAAGCAGAACTTTCATGCATTACCATTACTTATGGGATTAAGCAGGATTTTTTTTTTCATAAAAACAATATTTTAAAAGAGCTGACTCATGTCCTGCCGTACTATATGAAGTGAATTACATTAAAAGTGAATAATATTAAAACTCCAGGTGGAGAGGGGTCAGGGTCAGAGAAAACTATGGTAACCAGGTTACACATACAAACATACACAACCCACACACTAACCAACCAACATCCTAATCCTTTATGCAACATCCCATCAGAAGTTAGAGATTGAGTCTATTGGGAGATTGGTGTCCTTTTCTAGGCATGAATGACTTCTAGACTGAACATTAGCTATGTGGGGTGTGTGTGTGTGTGTGTGTGTGTGTGTGTGTGTATGTGCATGCGTAATATCATCAGTAAGATCATCAGTCTCTGTTTGAGGCTAAACTTCTATGAAATTGGAAACATTGGGTCTCAATCCATGTATATTTACGCACTGAATACTGCACATTATTTCACTGTTGTAATGAATACACTGATTTTCAGATAGGTGTAATGCAACAATATCTATCGAAAGCAGACAACATGCCAAAGAAATAACAAAATTATGAGCTGGTCAGCTGGTCAGAATTCTACAAAGAAGAAACCTCCACCTCAGCCATCTCTGCAAAACTGCAGCCTGCATGGTTACAAGGCGACAGTAAATGACAAGTTCATACTTTTGTCTTCTAAGGCTGATCCACTGAGTGCATTTACTGTGATCCATGATATGAAAAAGAAACTTCACACGCAAACATTTGATAGTGCTGGTAAGCAAGATGTTGAATCAATTGCTGTTGAATTGTGTTTGGATTATGGCTACCATAAAAGCTGCCAACGCATGTTTTTCCAAAATGCTAACCCTGCTTTAAGCAAGTGTCAAGAAAATGTCTCCATGAGACAGAAACATGAGCACGTGGATTCTTTAGTTTGGTTCAGGAGTTATTACATATTCTGCAGTAGTAGTGCAGTAAAGCAAGTGTCGGGCAAGAGATATAGCTTCCAATGAAATGCAAACAAAAATATAGAGAAAAAAGCTCTACAACTCAGTGATGAAGACCTGCTGTGCAAAATCAGAGGAGTTGATCTTTTTGCCAAGGAGACAAGTTTCTTGAATGCTGCAAACAGTACATGCAGCAAGCACCCAGTCTGACAATTTTTTGTTTAGGTTATTGCTAGTGATCTCAGCAACAGCCGCTGAATAATATGTAGTACTTGTATAGTGCTTTTCAAGATACTCAAATACACTTCACACAAAGAGATAAACAAAAGCAAACAAGTAAGACAGAAATAAGACAGTTAATGAAAGGTGGTTTTAAAGAGATGTTTTTTTAGGGCTTTTTAACATGGGGAGTGTGGATGAGTCTCTGATGTGTTTGGGCAGGGAGTACCAGAGGGTGAGGGCAGCAGCAGAGAAGGCCCTGTCCCCCCGGGTCTTATGTTTAGTTCTGTTGGGGGGAGACAGGAGGTTGGCATCAGCTGATCAGAGGACACAGGTGGGGGTGTGGTGATGGAGGAGCTCAGAGAGACAGGTGGGGGCTCTCGGCGGATGGGGAGCCAGTGGAGATCTCTGAGGACAGGGGTGATGTGTTCACAGGAGGATGTGCGAGTGAGGAGGCGGGCAGTAGAGTTCTGGATGTACAGGAGTCTGTTGAGGAGTTTGGAGGGTGAACCATAGAGCAGCTATTACAGTAGTCGAGGCGGAAGATGACAAAGGCGTGGATGAGGGTTTCAGCAGACTGAGGGGAAAGGCATGGGTGGAGGCGAGCAACGTCCTGGAGGTGACAGAAGGCAGTTCAGTTTTGGTGATGTGTTTGATGTGGTGTTCAAAAATTGGAGTCTGGTCAAAGATACCAAGGTTACAGAGGTGTGAGGAGGAGGAGACTAAGGAGAGGGTGAAGTTGTTGTGAGTTTTGGTGAGTGTTTCTGGGGCCGATGATTATTTTTGATTTGTCGCCATTGAGTTGGAGGAATTTTGACTTTATTTTGGAGATTAATTTGTGAGGGTGGAATGTGTGGCTAGGGTTATGGATTTGGCGAACAGGCAGAGTCCATGTCATCTGCAAAGCAATGGAACTGGAGGACATGGTGACAGATTATATGACCAAGGGGTATGATGAAGGGCAAGGGTCTCCAACCTTTTTCCTCTGGTGAGCTACCTACCTACAAAACAGAAATGCCAAAGAGCTACTTATTTTAACAGTTGCAAGAAATGTAATAAATATAAGAGCCACAGCCTTATGTTAGGGACAGTTAGATAGATAACATATAAACCTTTATTTATTTATTAGTGCACAAAACTGGTCATTAATATGGTAGATTGACAATGGTAATTAATCAAATTTTACTTATTTAGCACATTATATATAGTTCAGAAATACCTTGGCAAGCTACTTGGGGTGGAGAGCTACTGGTAGTTCCTGAGCTACAGGTTGGAGACCCCTGATGTAGAGTATGAAGAGGAGGGGGCCGGGAACTAAACCAACCACTTGCTTAAAGCAGGGTTAGCATTTTGGAAAAACATGCGTTGGCAGCTTTTATGGTAACCACATTCCAAACACAATTCATCAGGAATTGATTCAACAACATCTTGCTTACCAGCACCATCAAATGTTTGTGTGTGAAGTTTCTTTTTCATATCATGGATAGCAGTAAATGCACTCAGTGGATCAGCCTTAGAAGACAAAAGTATGAACCTGTCATTTACTGTCCCCTTGTAACCATGCAGGCTGCAGTTTTGCAGAGATGGCTGAGGTTTAGGTTTCTTCTTTGAAGTACTCTGTCCAGTTCATAATTTTGTTATTTCTTTGGCATGTTGTCTGCTTTCGATAGATATTGTTGCATTACACCTATCTGAAAATCTGTGTATTCATTACAACAATGAAATAATGTGCAGTATTCAATGTGTAAATATACATGAACTGAGACCCAGTGTTTCCAATTTCATTGAAGTTTAGCCTCAAACAGAGATTGATGATCTTACTGATGATATTACACATACGCACACATACGCACATGCGAACACACCCACGCACACACACACCCACACAGCCAACCACCCACACACACGTACCGACCAAACCACACACACCTAACCACCCACCCACCCACAGACATCCCCCCCACACACACATACACACACATGTGCAGAGAGAGATAACTTACCTTCATGCACAGAATAGATCTTTAAAATTATCCTTAAAGTAATCATACATTGCTTTTATTAGTATTTATAAGTTTTCATTTTCATGCAGTTTTCAGCTCCTGTACGGTTTCTGTAAAGCTCAGCTTGTAAACTGTCCTTGTGTCTTCTTCCTCAGACAACAGTGTGGGTGAGCTTATTCTTATGGCTGATGATTGGAGCTCTGGGTTTCGCACAAAGGAGATACAGTTTGAGTCCAAAGCGTTTGCCCAGTGGCTTTGGGTTGTCTGCTGGGAGAATATTAGCAGACCCTGGGGTGACTGCAGCAGAGACAGAGCCCTTTTTCAACTGCCCGGTTCAGCAACAATGAGAATCCACACTCAGCTTTTTTTTTTTTTTTTTTTTTTTTTTTTTTTTTTTGATTCATCTATTATCTAACACCCCATACATGAGGGAAAAGGACTGCATGGTTTCCTTCCAGTTTGACTCTAGGTCTTTTTTTTTTCTTTTTTTTAAATTTTCTACATTTACCCATGGATGCTATGGATGCCATGGATCCCAAAGACTTTCATTTTGCATATTTAAATAAATAATCTTCCATCAAATGTTTAATTGTCATCATTTATTGACTGTACCTTTTCTGGTGGACATGCCATGCAAGCACACAAGCACCAGCTTGTCTCAATGTAGCTGTTAATGCTTTACATAGATGTCACAGAGTCCCTCAACACATCCAGTTGAAAGACCTCCACAACCTGACCCCCTCGTACCTCTCAGACCAGCTATAACACTGCACTCCATCCTGCTCCCTCTGCTCATCTAATGCCAAATTCCTGTCCCTTCCCTGCTCCTGTCTGCACCTATCCATCTCTTGCAGGACTAAACTCTGAACCTGGGAAGACTGAGCTTTCCCCCACCGTGTAGAACTCCTTTCTGTGTGTATTGTGTGTAACACGTAAGACAACCTAAGCCCCTCCTCCATTATGTGTGGGACATTGTGTGATTTACCATAAGCCTAGCCTCATTTCTGTGCGTAACTCGGGTGGCACCACCAGTTCCGCCTCCATTCTCTGTATAAAGGACAACAATAAATGCATGCTGATATGGGGATAAGCACCTATGCTCGCATAGAGCATCATAATATAGGATGATCCTATTTTCTGAAATCTAGCCTACCAAGTGCAGTGGAGCTGCCCTCATTCAAGTGTTAATCACAATTTCCCACACAAAAAGGATGCAGGGCTTAAGGTGCATTACACATAAATAGTAGGCGGGCCTTAGAGTACCTCATGTGTTACACACAGAAAGGAGGCAGGGCTTAGGGTGTTTCACGTTACACACAGAAAGTAGGTGGGGCTTATGGTAAATCACAAAATGGCCAACAAAGAAAGAAGAAGTAGCTCATAGTAAATCAGACAATGTCTCACACATAAAGGAGGGGGGCTTAGGGTGCCTCACAGGAGACAGGGCTTAGGGTGTTTCACGGCACTTGGATGTTGTCGGACGGTGGAAGGGATACTTTGAGGATCTCTTCAATCCCTCCGTTTCATCTTCCAAGGAGGAAGCAGAGGCTGGGGACTCGGAGCCAGATTTGCACATCACCCTGGCTGAAGTCACTGAGGTGGTTAGCAAGCTCCTCTGTGGCAAGGCTCCAGAGGTGGATGAGATCCGTCCTGAGTATCTTAAGTTTCTGGATGTTGTGGGGCTGTCTTGGCTGGCACGTCTCTGCAACATCGCATGGTGGTCAGGGACAGTGCCTCTGGACTGGCAAACCAGTGTGGTGGCCCCTCTGTTTAAGAAGGGGGACCAGAGGGTGTGATCCAACTACAGGTGAATCACACTCCTCAGCCTCCCCGGTAAGGTCTGTTCCAGGGTACTGGAGAGGAGAATCATGCACCGGGAGCAGATCTGGCATACTGCCAGCAATGTGAAAGGAGCAAGCTGAGGTGGCTGGGGCATCTGTTCCGGATACCTCCTGGACGCCTCCCCCGGGAGATGTTCCGGGCATGTCCCACCAGAAGGAGGCCCTAGGGAAGACCTAGGACATGGGTCTGTGAATGCCCCTTGGTCCCCTTGGAGGAGTTGGACGAAGTGTCCAGGGTAAAGGAAGATTGGAACTGCCTGCTTAGACTGCTACCTCTTCAACTCTGCCCTGGATTAGCGGAAGAAAATGCATGAATGAATGGATAACAATTGTCAGTGAGACGACTTTCTGTTTGATGTTCCACTCTCATGTTCCACTTTCATGAAGTGCTCTGCAACAATGTCAGCGTAGTGCCTCTCTTCTGTCTTCAGAACAGTCAAAGCATGCAACTGAAGTGCTGTGGGCTGTGACCCAAGGAAGTTCTCATTACTGAGGGACAGTAATGAGTAATCTCCAGTTAGTGCGACTGTGTTTTCCTGAGCCAGTGCCTGCTGTACTAAGGGCGTCATCACGCAGCGCTGTTTGTTTACATGTCGCACAGCAAAGCTAACTCTTTGAGCAGAGAAATTAAGTCCAGTGGCATGAATTATCTATTAATTAGCGAGACCGATAGGAGTCCTGTCCTGAGGACAGCCGGAGGAGAGAAGCTGCAAAACCTCTGTCATTGTCACAGTCCATTATTGAAGGTAAGCGTGAACTTTGTTTCGTGTTTTCTTTGTATAAATTACATCAGTGCACCTGACACGGTTTACAGCCAGATACTGTAGTTTTTCTAATGTTACCAGCAGTGGCCACATCTTATAAAAACTAGTTCACTAAGTCACAAACAGCGCTAATCTCATGATTAAAATAAATAAATAACACCTTTAAAATTATTTTGCGTTAACTTGTTAATAATGAGATATTTGATAGCACTGGTAAATATTAGGGGTGTCAATTTATCACGTTAATTGCAATGAATTAATTACAGTCATATTTAGCACGTTATGTTTTTTAATTGCGTTAATCTTATTTTTAATCTCTAACTTTACTGTTTCTGTATGCGAGTTGCCTTATTATAAAATCTGTTTTTATGTGTTGTTAGGACAGTCCCGCACTGTGCAGTCCTGCTCTGCTCGCTCCCGCAAAGAATTGTAATTTTCATCGCCGCATCGCCTCTAAACCTGCACACATCTGATCTCTGAAAACATCGTGACACAGACACAGAACAGACTCACCTTCACTATCAACACCCCTCTGTCATAGAGAGAACATCTATATTCCACTAAGTCGTGTCCTTTAGTCCAAAAGAAACTGAACTGCATCAGCGCACAAGGGCATTTTTGCTAATTTCCACTTGTAGTCCCTGGACAGGTTCATTGATTGATTGTATTTAACTGACCATGACTATCAACTGTTCTGGAGACCTGTAGCATGTTTTGGGATGATGGGGGAAACCGGAGCACCCGGAGGAAACCCATCCAGACACGGGGAGAAACATGCAAACTCCACACAGAAAGGCCCTGGGCGACCTGGGGATCGAACCCAGAGCCTTCTCCCTAGAGACACTGCATTTCTCATTCGTGGGGAGCAGTCCTCTGTGGTCACAATGTTTCTGACCTCTTTGCGATCTTGATCCATTTCAAAGGTCACTTGTATGTCACAGTGTTCCTGTGGGTTAACTTTTGGTGGTGGTGGTTGTTGTTGGTCCTCATGTCTGTCTTCTTCTTGTTCTTGTTCTTCTTTTTCTTTTTCTTCATTTGCTGCTCTCAAAACTGCATGGAAATACTGCGAGCAGGCCCTGCTGGCCTTTCTTAACAGAAACCAATAGGTGGGGTACTCTTCGGGGTACAGCCGAACATTTTGCAGTAGCGTGTTCAGAAACTGATTGCCTCCAGAATTGACCGAGTGTATGCCTTCATGGTAGCATGACAGTTTGAACTCATGCAGTAGAATGAAAGGGGGCTGTGTGTCACACACACGGACCATGGCATTGGGCATCCTCTGCAGTGTCGCTTCACTCTCTCTGGCTTCGGCTGCCGCTGTAACATGGCATTGGGCATCCTCTGCAGTGTCGCTTCACTCTCTCTGGCTTCGGCTGCCGCTGTAATGATGACATGCAAGGCCATTGCGGTGGCTTGTGTTCCTCGTCCTCCTCCTCCTCTTCCTCCTCCTTATGCTCCTGCTACTCTAGAAGCCCCCTGTGATCCTCCATGAGCCCCAGGCTGTCGTGGATCCATGCTTAAAATTGTACTTGAACTTTTTTTTCTTTTATAGGACTGACAAAAGGACACAGACAGACAAGGACAAGGACAAGGTGGTGGTGGAGTTTTACCCAGGCTGGTGCCACTTAGTGCCTCCACTCAATTTTCATTTCTCTCCAGCGACTAGGTCAGGAATCAAGAATACGGTTCCGAGTATAAACCGTGTGAAACCCTGCTGATGAATCAGGCTAGTGCAGTTTAATAAACAGACCAAAATCTTGACTCTGCTGACTCTGGAATACAGTAGCGAGTGTGTATGTGCACATCAGTACTACTGTCTCCCTTAGGGCATCACGCAAAGGGAGCGTCCTGGCTTCGACCACCTCTGTAGCATCCTCTGCTGCTTTTGAGTCTGCCTCTGCTTCTGTAACTGTTTCACTAACAGCAGTTTCAGTGACAGTAGCAAAAGCCGGAGCAGAAGCAGCAGCGATGACTTCTCCTTGTGCTCCAGCAGGCAGCTGCTGAAGAAACATGTCTTGGGAGGGATGTGTGTGTGTGTGTGTGTGTGTGTGTGTGTGTGTGTGTGTGTGTGTGTGTGTGTGTGTGTGTGTGTGAGAGAGAGAGAGAGAGAGAACAATTGTGCAAAAACTATTTATATATTAAACCTCAGAAATAAATGTGTGTTAGACTAGTAATATTTATATCAATTAGTATTTAGTTCACAACTTAACCTTTCACTTTAATGTATCTACTGTACAATACCACCTCCTTGGTTGGTGTGTGTGTGTGTTATGTGTGTGTGTGTTGCTATCATAGACTCAAAATCAACCTCCTCTCAGCTCCCTTTTTTTTTTTGGTACAGGGCCTATCTATGCTGGGGTGAAAGGGATAAAAGTATTACTCATACTTATGATTATGATTATTAAAAGATAAAGAAATGCATACTCAAGTCTTTGTCTCTTTTATTAAGTTTGTTTATTACATTCATGATAGTAACAACAACAACAACTGTGATACAAATCAAGGCAAACATGTCTTAACAATAACAATATAACAATTTACTACTACTACCACTACTACTACTACTACTACTACTACTACTAAAAATGTGTACCAAGGCATTTTCCATTGCCCGTATGTCTACTTCACTCTCCCCTGTCACTACAGCAGCAGCGGCTACTATTCCATCTATAGCCTCTCTTATTATGCCGTTGGCTTCTGTAGTGGCCCCTGTTTCTGGTGTTTCATTTTCAGTTGCTGTTTCA